ACAGATACATACAGAATCACATTAACACCATACAAAGGCAACCAACCAGTTTGCCTGGGACTGCAAGTATTTCCAAAACAAAGGATCTTCCATTTGACTCAGGATAGTCCCATGTCAGTAAGGACCAAAGAACTTCCATATTCTTCAAAGATAAAGCTATTAAATGTTGCCATGAAGATAAGGGTAGATAGCTATGACCCACTTACTGTATGTATGTATATATGTGTGTGTATATATATATGTGTGTGTGTGTGTGTGTGTGTGTGTGTGTGTGTAATGTGTATGAGTGACACATAAAGACAAAATAATTGTCCCAGCCATACATAGATATGTGTGTAGATGCATGTCTATATACATTTGTGTGTATACATAGACACAATTTTATTTATTTTTGCAGTGCTGAGTATCAAACTCAGGGACAGCTGTGCAGTTGTTTTTCCCCTGGGCCATACTTCCAGCCCCTATATTTTTTTTTTTCTTGACAGTCTCACTATATAGCTCTGGCTAGCCTGGAATTTGCTACATAGACCAGGGTAGCCTTAAACTCACAGAGTCCTGCCTGCCTCTGTCCCTGTAATAATTTTTTGGCCGGATCCCCCTCTAACTGTAAGACGGTTTGGGTAGGAGGATGATCACAGCATCTTTTAACCTGCGTATCTCTGCTCATTAGTTCGGCTATCTTCTTCTATAAATAGTATGAATTGCAAGAATGTACACACACGGCTTTTTTCCTGTTCCACTTCCTTGTGTGAGTTAATTTAAACCTTCTCATCGTGGCTGGGTACTTTCCAGGCCTCAGGGAAGGTCCCTGGCTCCCTGGCAGCTAGAAGTCAGCTGTGAAGAATTAGAGTGAGTTCTTTATGTTCTTTTATATCGACACTTTGAGAGTTAACATTGCAGCCTAGACTTACTAATGCTCTGAAATTTCCCTTTTCCATGTAACTTCAGTAAAGCTTGCAACAGTAATAAAGGACCATTTTAACAGGCTGGTGCCCGGGTTACCTTGTCTTTTACATGGCGTCTTTTCTCCACGGGAAGGGGTTTTTTTTTTTTCTAATGAGCTGATTGTGTTCTGACGACAGAGCATCTGGGAATCCCTAACTAAAAAGTGGACTTCATGAAAAATAGGATTTCATAACACAGCCATCTGTGGCTCCCGACTCCACCCCAGCCCTGGCTGATGATGAGTCATCAAGGCCAACTGGTGAGTGTAGATGGTGTCTATTCTTTGCTTCAAAACATAATGGTAACATTTTTTTTTTTCCCTCTCTTCCTTCCTAACTTCTGCCTGGGCCTTGTGCCATGAGACAGACCGGGGGTGGGGACGGCTCAAAGCCTACAAATTGCTGCTCTGACATGCTCCTTTTAATCCTTTTCTTTCCCACTACAAATAGCTCAAGCAAGTCTGTCTCAGCGGGGAGCTGGTCGGTAGTATATCTTTCAGGATTAATTCTAACCTCTTTTATCGCTAAATTCCTCCCAGGGCTGAGAGAAGACTTCACCCCCGTGGCTGGCTCCCTTTGGATTCCTGGAGTGTAGCGCGACAATTTCCTTAGGTCCCCTTTATTGCTGAAGAGTGGAAAGCCCCTGAGAGGCAGGAATGTGGATGGTGCTACGCTTAACATCATTTTTTTTTCTTTCACGTAGCAGCTAAGCTTAATAATAAACTCTTTACCCAGAGAAAAACCCGGGGTGTAAAACATATGTTGCATTTAGTGAGGCTGTGTTCTGAAAGCAAAGCTGGACCTCTCCCAGCCCCACAGCAGGAAACAGTTGTACTGAGGGAGCAAAAGGGGGGAGTTTTGAAACCACAGAGTTCCAAGTTCAAATCCTGCTTCTTGACTTTGGAGGGAACTTGGCTATTTTGAATATTACCAACCACACCTTCTAAGTAGGAGTATATTCCGCACAATAGCTGAAATAAAATTGTGTTTTTAAGTGTCTGGTGTATCAGAGATTAACAAAAATTAGCATATTTCTTGGGGAAGTTTTGTTCATCTGATGGATTCAAAGTGGATGCATCAAACCCCTGTGGATGAATGTGGCCCTGACTCCCCAAAGCCAAAAACAAAATCAAACAAGATCTGACATCTGTCCCCCAAATGAACAAATTATTGCTCTCAAATCCGGAAAGAGTCCTTCAAGAGCCCCCATTAAAGCCAGGCATGGTTTTCCATACCCCAAATCCCAGCACCTGTGAGGCTGAGCAGAAAGGTCACCTTGAGTTTGGAGTTAGCCTAGGTTACATAGTGAATTCCAGGCCAGCCTATGCTACAAAGTGAGACTATTTCAAAAAGAAAAAGAAATAATCCCCACTGGCAAACTATCTCATCTAAATCTAGCCTTTCTCGAATCCAAACTAGAAAAGGCTTTCTGGTTTGCTTTTGTGGTTGTTTTAACATCTTCAATTTGTTGTATGAAAATCAAGACCTAAAAAAAATTTTAAGGTTTCACCACATACATTTACTTATTAGTTTGTTCGTTTGTTTTATACGGGGGAGTGAATGCAGTTTATTTTTTTTTCCTTTTTTTTTTTAAAGCAAGTCTATCACTGAGCTACCTATACGATATCACCAGCCCAGAAGTAGAGGGTTCTGTTTTATGAGCATTGCTGTTTTGCCTGCATGTATGTCTGTGTGAAGGTGTCAGATCTTGGAATTACAGGCAGTTGTGAGCTGCCATGTGGGTGCTGGGAATTGAACCCGGGTCCTTTAGAACAGTCAGTGCACTTAACAGCGGAGCCATCTCTCCAGCCCCGCAGTTCATGTTAAAATCAGGAGACAAATTTCAGGGTTCAGTTCTCTCTTTCCAACACTCAGGCACCCAGGGACTGACCACAGGCTGTCAGGCTGCGCGGTTGCCAGGCAAGCCCTTTACCCAGTGCCCCACCTCCACCACCTCACTCACCCAGGACCTGAATTGTTATGTGAATGCATGAAATGGTATTTGGACATTTAAATGTTATGCCTGAAACCTGTGATCTACAGCCGGCAACAAATGATTTGCCATCACTGAAGATTGACAAATGAAAACCAGACGCCTCATCAAGGGGGAAATGGCCTCGGCCACTTCAGATTCACAGATCCATCACTGTTCGCCACATCCCTTCAAAAGGTTCCTTTTAATCTCTCTTTCTTTCTTTCTTTCTTTCTTTCTTTCTTTCTTTCTTTCTACCTCCTTCCTTCCTTCCTTCCTTTCTTTTGTTTTTTTGTTTTGTTTTGTTTGAAACAGGGTTTCTCTGGTTAGCCTTGGCTGTCCTGGAACTTCCTTTGAAAACCCAGGTTGGCCTTTAACTCATAGAGATCCACCAGCCTCTGCCTGCAGAGTGCTGGGATAGTGTCATCTTCTTGATGGGTGATGTAATCTCTATCAGGATTGGTAATCTTTGAGCAAGTCGTGAACAGAACCAGGAAATAGTCTACCAGCCCTGTATGTGTTTCCTCAGCTCAAAAACCTAGCTTGTCCATTCAGGGGAGGGGTCATAGCTAGCTCATGATTCACCATAGGCCCTGACCTTATTAAGAGATGCTAACTCCTGTCTCAAAAAAAAAAAAAAAGAAAGAAAAAGAAAAAAAAACCTGATTAGAAATAGGACGTTGGAAATGGACAAAGCTCACAAACCCTGGAAGAAGATATAAGAGCATGAGAGAGAGAGAGAGACAGAGAGACAGAGAGAGAGACAGAGAGACAGAGACAGAGACAGAGATGGGGGGGCAGACAGAGTAGAAACCTTTTCCTATATGCTGTGTGGCATTTTTCCTGGGGAGATATGACAAAAAATGTTTATTTACACCAGAAAGGAAATCTACTACTGCCACAGTTGAACTTGAAGGAACAATGATTTTGTTGGGGTTGTTTTCAGGAATATGGACAACTCTGTGTCCCTGAAAGTACACCTCAACATGGGTGATGACTTGAAAACCGGCACTCTGGAGCTCTCTGTCCAGTGTCTTCTCTCTTCAGCAACGCTTATTGTTTATATAACCTGGGTGCTGGGCATGGGGTGGGGGTGGGGGGAGCCTGTGTATCTAGTTAACGCCAGAGACTTCCTGAAATTTATGAGTAGATTTAAACTCTTTTGGAGCCTCTCATTAAAACTTCCTGAGTCCTTGGGACTGGAGGGATGGCTAACAGTCAAGACCACTGGCTGTTTTTGCAGAGAACCCAGATTCAATTCCCAACACCTACATGGAAGCTCACAGCTGTTTGTAGCTATGGTTTCAGAGGATCTGACACCCTCGCACAGACATACATGCAGGCAAAACACCGATGCTCATAAAGTAAAAATAAATAAATCATTAATGAAAAAGTAAAAAAGAAAGAAAGAAAACTTCCTGAGTCCCAAGGAGCTGCCCTCCAGGAAGGAGGGCCTTTGGAGATGATTACAAAACATTAGGATCCAAGATCTAGATGTAAAAGCATGGAATCTTAGCATTCTCACAGGAGATTGAGGCAGGGAAATCTTGATGTCAGGACCAGCCTAGTATAAAGCCTATCTCTAGGCAGAGAAAACAGAAAGAAGAACAGGGACCATCACATTTGGTTATTCACATTTGGTTGTTCTGTTCTGTCCCGTTGTGCAATATGAACCCAGGGTCCTGCGAAGTTTAGAATAACCCAAAACTGAAGGAGAATGTCTCCCCGTGTTGGGAGGGGACCCCAGAGCATGGTAACAATGACATGTAGTAAGCATCAGAGTCCTGAATCCTGTCTAGAGTTCCTATCAGCTCTCCTACTTCTCTGGTGTTTCGGGGAGGGGGGAGAGAAAGAAAAAAAAAGAAGAAGAACGTATTCGGAGAAGTTGTGGGTAAGTGTGACTATTTCACCATGTCAAATCAATTTCTGCAAGTCCTTGAGGGAGCACCTGCTTTGTGCTGACAAAGGGTTTGTTCTTTAACTGTGACCTATTACTTGAAAATGCTCCTGATTACACAGCAGGGTGTGTCCTGTCAGGTGACTCAGGCTATTTTCAGCTGCATATAAGTAGCTCTGCCAGCGCCGGGGTCTCTGTGGTTCTCGGGCAGAACCGAGGGCTTTGTGTTCGCTGGAGAAACACTCTGCGGAATGGGTCTGCCGGGGCGGGGCGGAGCGGGGAGTGGGGTGGCGATGCTTCTAAACGCGGGAGAATGGTTCGGAAATGGAGGTCTTTCTTTCAAAACACCGTTATCTCGATCTTTTCGCAAACTGTTCCTTTCCTTTCAATGCTGCAGGCAAGGAGCTCAGCAGGAACTCTGGATCACAACCACGCAGGAGTTCTTCTGGTTCCTTTGCCATTCCATCTTTCCAATCAAACCACAAGGATCTTGACCATGACGACGTGAGCCTCTTAGTTTCCCAGTAACTGACTTAGCCAGGTTGCCTTCCCGAGGGCATGTTGCTCAGTGTTTCTGTGAGTCCTGGAGTCAATCAACATGCTTCTGGCATCGTAGCCCTGCCGGCCCTATTGTCCTGACTTACTTGTGGTTGTGTTGGGGTCTGTCTGTAGGTTTGTTTGTTTGTTTGTTTGTTTGTTTGAGACTGTGTCTCCATAGGTGGTCCAAGGTAGCCTCCAGCTGAAGCTCCCTCTCCCTTTGCAGATTTAAAGCTGGAGCTGAAGGCGCCAGCCACCACTCCCAGCTTAATCACCTTGGCTATAAAATGCCAAGCTATCACCAGGTGGTCATGGTGCAGGCCTTTAATCCCAGCACTCAGGAGGCAGGGACTGGTGGATCTCTCTGAGTTTGAGACCAGCCTGACCTACAGAGAGAGTTCCAGGACAAGCTCCAAAGCTACCGAGAAACCTGTCTTGAAAAACGAAAAAAGAAGAAAAAAAGATGAAAGATGTCAAGTTATCCGTCTGATGGATTGATAGATGATCCTTTGACAAAGATTTGAGAAGTTCAATAAAATTTTTTTCACCATTTATTGTATAATAGTAAGAGTTGGTCCTGTGTGGACATAGGAGAGGGGTCGTGCTTCTTGTGAGAGAGTCTCAAACCCACGTCACAACAAACTAGGACTTTCATCTGAAAAACAATTTTATCAGATGATTTAGATAGAAGATAGATTATATAAATGGTAGGTGAATAGATATGACAGATGATGGAAGGCTAGAGAGATGGAAAGATAACTAGAAGAATTTTTCAAATATACAGAGCTGTATATTTTTTTTTTTAAGATATACAGCCTGCTGTGGAGGCACATGTCTGTGATTAGGAATTGGGAAATAGAAGCAGGAGAATAAGGAGAACAAGACCAGCCTTGGCTACATTACAAGTTTGGAGACCTGTGAGGGCTACAGAATACTCTGTCTCAAATAAAAAATGTAATATAAGACAAAGCATGGTGGCCCAAGCCTGTGGTCCCGGAACTCTGGAAGCAGAGTCGAGACCATCACGGAAAGTTGGAGACCAGCCTAGTCTGAGTGTTGAGTTCAACACCAGCCAGTGTTCCACACAGGGAGGTCTTGTCTCAAACCAGAATTTACTAGTGATTCAGTTCAGTAGGCGAAGGCACTCAGTCTGAGACCTAGCCTGAGACCTGAGATCAGTTCGAGGAACCATAAGGTGGAAGGAAAGAAGCAACCCTGCAAGTTGTCCTCTGACTGCCACAGGCTCGACAGGCATGCCATGACACGTGCACCCCGCCCCCACACATAAACAAATAATAGTAAGGTAAACAACAAAAGCGAATACAGATAAAAATGGTCTCTTTGTGTCATCCAACAAATACAACCATGTGGATACCTTAAGGTCTGTTTTTCTTTCTCGGACAGGGTCTTAGCTGCGTGGTCTAGGCTGGCCTTACACTTGACATCAAAAGACCAGAAATGACACAGGCCATACCAAGACCGAGTTCTCAGAACGAAAGAGACTTCTTTGTCCCAGAGAGACAACGGACAGGGAATAAGAGACAGAGGACAAGAGAGAAGGAAACAGGAACAAGGGAGAGGAGGCAGCGAGGGACAAAGGGTTGCCTCTGGATAGAGCAGAGACGGATGTGGCCCATAGGAAGATGTCATCTTATAAAGGGAAACGGGAAACCCCGCATGTTAGGATGAGCTGGTTTGTTTCAATTGGACATATTAATTAGGGCAGACAAAAGGGGACTTTTGATTGCTAGACTTTAATACTTTGATAGCTTGACCTTGGGGATCAGCCTTAGGGATGAGTCTGGCATAAGAAAATGTCCAAGTGAGGGAACAGTCATTGGCAGGTAGCTTTAGGGATTTAATCTATGGTTTACAAGGCAGGGGCAAGGGAAAGGCCTGCCAGTGCCATGCTTGCCATGCTCGGGCCTGCTAGAGTTCCTTCAGACATCCTCTTGCCTTGGCCTCTAGGATGCTACATGATAACAGGCATGAGCCACCATATCTGGCTCGTTGGGGGAATGTTTTTAGCATGAAAATGTGACTTTCATAGGGTGTGGTGTATGTTCCATCTTTGCAAGCCCAACACCGAGAAAGTTGAGGCAGGAAGTGTTCAGTTGGGAGGCTCCCAACTTAACAGGACAATCTGGAGTTCAAGTCAAATCTGGCCTTGGCAATGCAGTAGTGAGACTGTCTCCAAACTGTCATAGACTGGAGGATGGTTTGTAGGGAAAGAGAGCTCGCTGTGCAAGCATGTGGGCCTGAGTTTGGGCACCAGCGCCTATGAAAAAATCCAAAATGGAGGTGTGTGTGTGTGTGTGTGTGTGTGTATGTGTGTGTGTGTATGTGTGTGTGTGTTTGTGTGTGTGTATGTGTGTGTATGTGTGTGTGTATGTGTGTGTGTTTGTGTGTGTGTGTGTATGTGTGTGTGTGTATGTGTGTGTGTGTATGTGTGTGTGTATGTGTGTGTGTGTGTGTGTGTGTGTGTGTGCTGGCAAACAGGAGGATAGCTAGGACTCACTGGTTCCTTCAGGCTCAGTGAGGGACCTTGGCTCAAAGGAAAAAGACACAGTGAGACCCCCCTCTGGCCTCCAGATTCACACACTCGGGCATGCACACACTCACACATGTACACAACATGTACGCACACAAACAAAAATTCACATCTGTCAAGTTTGTGAACTCTATACCCAAGTTCCCACGTGTTTCTCCTGACACACGATTCTAGATGTAAGAGCTTTGAAGTTTCTCTTGTAGTATCAGACACACCAATCCCTGTGGGAGCTTCTTCCTGCAAAGACCTCTCAACCTTCAGGGAGCTGCTTCCCCAGGGTCTCCCCTCACCAACTCTCCATCCCTCCCTTCCCTTTAAAGGAGAAGATTGCACTCCCTCCCTGCAGGGCATGAGAATCTTTGAGGGCAGAGGTAAAGATTAAGGCTTCTGAAGTCTGTTCCCTAGTTCTCACATTCAAAGAGGAAGGTCACCCCGTTGTGCCTACTTCTGCACATGACTGGCTCAGGGTGAAGCAATCCTTGCAGTCCTAGCGCTGGAGGCCGAGGGACGGTGAAGTCAACACTACTGGAATCACACAGCAGCCCCACACAAAGGGAACCAAACACGCAGGCGCTCAGCTGGGGCAAGGCAAGGGGCAGGGGAAAGTGTGGAGGCCTCGCTTCTCCTCAGCCCACTCTGCTCAAGGCCCCTTTAAATCATCCAGTGTTTTATTGTTTTTGTTGTTGTTTGTTTTTTTAAGACAGGATCTATGTAGCCTTTGAACTCTCCACATAGACCAGCCTGGCTTTGAACTCGGAGATGACTGCCTCTGCCGGTTCAGTGCTGGGACTGACCGATGGTGTGTGCCTGCTCTCAAGGGAAACATAAAACACCAAAGGAGCCACAAACCCTTTATCTATAATGATGTAACGGCCAGCAAGATGTGCCAGGGCAATGGTGGCACAAAATTTGTAGGCGAAACCAGCAACTGACTTAGTGCCCACTCCACAAGATGGAACCCATACCTGACACTGCTTGGGTGACCGAGGAGCTCAGACTAGATAGCCCAGGGACCTAGGGGAAAATCAAATAATAATGATCTAAAGAAAAAAACAAGAATGTAATGATAAAATAACCCCTAAAGATATTCTCCTATACTCATAGATCGGCGCTTCGTTCAGCCATCATCAGAGGCTTCCTCCTGCAGCAGATAGGAACACATATGGAGACCTACAGGCAGACACTTGGCAGAGATGGAAACTTTGGGAACACAACCCCACCCCTCAGAGCTCAGGGAAACACCTCCACCACCTTCCGCCCCCTCAGAAGAGGAGTCAGGAAGATTGTAAGAGCCTTAGGGATGGAGGATATTGAGAAAACAAGGCTCTCTAAATCAAGATGAGCAAAGCACCTATGAACGCAGACGGTGGCAGCATGAACAAGGCCTGCACTCGGGCCTCTGCGCATGGTACTTCCGGTCCCCATGTTCAGTATGGGATCCCCTGAGTGTGTGAATGGGTGACTCTGATTCTTGTGTCTTCCCTTAGGCTCTTTCCTTTCTATCGGTCTGTCTTGGCCAACTTCCACGTGATAGTTTCTATCTTATATTGTTATACTTTTCTTCTTCATTGAAGCTTTGGGGGTTTCATATCATGTACCCCAGTTCCGTTCACCTCCTGGTTACCCCATGTCCCCCCTCATCCCTCTTGCATTCCCCCCACTTATTTTGTTATAATTTTTAAAACATGAATGAATGAGAGCCTAGCCACTAGGGTAAAGGTTAACAACTGAACGGTCACATCTACTAGGAGAGGAAAAGTTCATTTTCCCAAGCAGACCAACACTGGATACACTAGCCACGCCAGGACAGGCTTCATGCTCAGTAGTGGATCGATATACAATTGGGCTCCACAGTTTGTGCTTGTATTTGGTTACAGTTTGCTGAGTTTTGTTTTTGATAAGGCTTTGTTTTATTTTTTTTCTTTTTCGGGGGTGGGTGCTATTGTTTTGTTTTGAGAGAAAATTTACAGTTGGGTGGTAGGGAGGGGGAAGAGGATCTGGAGGGGAGGAAAAGGATTTTATCCAAGTATTTTAATTTGAAAATTGTTTTGAATCATAGACAATATAATAATAAAATCAAAAGATGAGCATAGCAGCCCCTGTAATTCCAGTGCTGAGAGGTGAATGTTTGGAGCTTGCTGGCCAAATAGTTAAGATTCAGGGAGATTCCACCTCTAAAAATACAGGGGCTGGCTCTGCGGGTAAAAGTGCTCCTCACATACCTTGATGGAAGGAGTACCAACTCCTGTAAGCTGCCTTCCGTGGGCCAACAGCATGACACCCGCAACCAAGACAACATTGAGCTCCCCAGCCCTGGGATCCGCGAAGTGGAGGGAAAGGATTGATGCTCAGATTGTTCTTTGACCTCTACACATGAAGCATCACACACATACACACACAAATAGATACATGTAATTTTTTAAAAGTTGCATTCTGGCCTCCACACAAACACATTAGCATGTGTGCACCCGCACACATTCAATAATATCTTTAATAATGCGGAGAAACTACTGACCTCTGATACACACCTTCCCACACAAACATGCATGCAAACGCACATATACACCACACCAGATATCTGCTGACATGTGTTAAAATAGTTTAATAATACACTTCTTACTTGACAAAAACCACACAGGAAGACGTGATATTTTTCAATAGCGGCCACTGTATTCAACTCTATTTAATAGTCCAGACCATAAGATCGGTCTTCAGAAACAAACATATAAATACAGTCACAGACCATAAATACCCATTTGGCAAACTGTCTGTCTACCTTTAGGCCAAGAAAAAAAAAATCTTCAAAGTAAAGACCTTAATGCTGAGGCCCACTAACTACTGAGGTAAGTTCATCCAAAGTGACTAGCTATATGACACCCTTCATGGTGCCATGAAACCCCTGTCTCATAACAGAAATGAAAGTGACATACGTGTTCAAATGAAACAAAAATTTCAACTATAAATAAGTAAAAATAAATTACTCCTGGTAAAACTCAATCATGACCTCCTTT